CACTTCACGTACAAACTAGCACGCGGGGAGCCCCAAGTCATAAAATATTAACTGGTTTGAGGGAAAGAGACAAACGGGAAAAGTCTGAAGAAAAAATTGACTGTCACCACCAGGACTCGAACCAGGGACCCTCGCTTGTAGCCAACGATGCTCTAACCACTGAGCTATGGTGTAGTCGTCATCCCAGCAGAGACCGTTCAACATTTTCTTCAGACTTCGTAACTCACACTTCCTGTGAATCCACACAGGCGGGTGGGACGCAGCCCTCACTGTAACCCACACACTTCACGTACAAACTAGCACGCGGGGAGCCCCAAGTCATAAAATATTAACTGGTTTGAGGGAAAGAGACAAACGGGAAAAGTCTGAAGAAAAAATTGACTGTCACCACCAGGACTCGAACCAGGGACCCTCGCTTGTAGCCAACGATGCTCTAACCACTGAGCTATGGTGTAGTCGTCATCCCAGCAGAGGCCGTTCAACATTTTCTTCAGACTTCGTAACTCACACTTCCTGTGAATCCACACAGGCGGGTGGGACGCAGCCCTCACTGTAACCCACACACTTCACGTACAAACTAGCACGCGGGGAGCCCCAAGTCATAAAATATTAACTGGTTTGAGGGAAAGAGACAAACGGGAAAAGTCTGAAGAAAAAATTGACTGTCACCACCAGGACTCGAACCAGGGACCCTCGCTTGTAGCCAACGATGCTCTAACCACTGAGCTATGGTGTAGTCGTCATCCCAGCAGAGACCGTTCAACATTTTCTTCAGACTTCGTAACTCACACTTCCTGTGAATCCACACAGGCGGGTGGGACGCAGCCCTCACTGTAACCCACACACTTCACGTACAAACTAGCACGCGGGGAGCCCCAAGTCATAAAATATTAACTGGTTTGAGGGAAAGAGACAAACGGGAAAAGTCTGAAGAAAAAATTGACTGTCACCACCAGGACTCGAACCAGGGACCCTCGCTTGTAGCCAACGATGCTCTAACCACTGAGCTATGGTGTAGTCGTCATCCCAGCAGAGGCCGTTCAATTATTATTATTATTATTATTATTATTAACTTTTATTTTACTAGGGTGTTTCCCACAGACCTATGGTCTTCTTACGGGAGCCCCTAGGAAGGTTATGCATGAGCGAATAAATGAGCGGTAATCGGTACAAGTACGAACAGTGGAAGGCAGCATATTCCACCGGTCAGCAGCGAGATAGCCAATCCGAGAAAAGCCAGCCGTACTCTGTGCTGGGGGTAATGCCAAAGAAAAAGACACTATTGCCCCCGCTTGTTTTTCATGATCCATTGCTTCCCGTATGTCACGTGATTGTCGCCTTGGAGTTGACCAATGACAGATCAAACAGCGCGGGCTGGAAAGCGCGGTCCTGCCTGCTCAAAGGTGATGGAACTGGATCCACTGCCCGTCGTCAAGTGACGACGGGCAGGAACGGATTCCACTGCCCGTCGTCAAGTGACGACGGGCAGGAACGGATTCCACTGCCCGTCGTCAAGTGACGACGGGCAGGAACGGATTCCACTGCCCGTCGTCACTTGACGACGGGCAGGAACGGATTCAACTGGCCGTCGCCGGGCAGTAGCCACTGGACTGACTCTACTTCAAGGTCTTTCAAGTTTCATTGGTTACTAATAAAATAACTAAAGCAGAAGAGCGACTGTTTGCAACCACAACTGTCATCATGGCGCTCCAACATTTGATCTGGAACTGGGAGAAAAGAAGCCCCTTTGTTGAACGATATTGGCGATGCGAATGAGCTCCTCCGAAAAGTTGAGGAAGAGACTGAAACTTTTATTGCGGAGTCGCTCGCGAAGGAGATCTTGGACGAGCCGGATGAGCCTCAACCAAAGCGCGCAATGCTCAGCAACCTGCAGGATCCGCGCAATTTGCCGAGGTTTCCGATCAAGACGTGTAGTGGGAAAAATCCGTAGGAACAGAACAGCCAGAATGCCCGATGCCCAGTCGACAATGTCAATGGCCGCGCGAGAAAAAAAGCACTATGGACTACTACAAAAAACTGTACCAGAAAACAATCACAAAACACAATGCAGGTGTGTCTGTCATGTATCTCTTTATTTGGCTTGGGTGCACACGGGAAACACGTTCCAGTCACTCATACTCGGCCAGTACCGCTGTTCATCCAGCCCTTGCCGCTATCGCGGCGCGGGCTGGATTCCGCGGTACTGGCCTCGTACTCGTGCAGGAACCTGTACTTCTTGCCTCCCCGTTTAATTTCCATCTAGCTGTTTCCAGCTAGTATCAGTTCTATCACACTTATCAATTGTCCTTATTGGCGTCACGCCATCGTGGAATAAAAGAATAATATTAATAATAATGAGACATCGGGTATAAGGACGCTTCACGATTAAGGTGGCGGGGCGGTACAACTTTTTTTGGGAAAATTTTGACTTCATTTTTGAGTTTATCCGCAAGGCAGAGATGAAATTTGAAAATGTTTTCTGGTGAATCTCTGGAGAAGAGCCTTCTCTAGCTTCAAAATTTGAAAACGTTTTATGAAAGGTTTGTGTTATTTTTTCACGGACCTTTCATAAAACTTTTTCAAATTTTGTCCAAAAGGAAAAATAAAACTATAGGAGGCTAGAGAAGGCTCTTCTCCAGAGATTCACCAGAAAACATTTTCAAATTTCATCTCCACCTTGCCGATAAACTCAAAAATGCAGTCAAAATGTGATCAAAATGACCCCTAAAAAGTTGTACCGCCCCAGCCACCTTAAGGACACTTTTCTGATGCCCCGCCGAGAGTCCTTATACGCAAAGTTTACTGTAATGCATTAATGGCTGGTTTACCGTGCTTGGTCTCGTGCCACAACATATTATCGTGTCACTCCATATTGCGCATGCGCAATCTGGGAATTCTCGGATTGCGCAGCGCAATCGCAAATTCTCAGATTGCGCGGAACATACACACATACATGTACACGGGATATTTTGGCAGTGTCCAAATGTGGACTCTGCCAAAATAT